CACAAGATTTCTGATTCTTTGACAAAATGTGTTAGGTTTCAAGGAAGAGGCTAACTTTACTCTAATACTATAAATAGAAGAAGAAAATACAAAAAAAACTAATCAACACTTAATTAAAGACTCGTAATTTTACATTCGTTAGCCCTTTTTAGTTTTCAATTTAGGTTTGTAATCTTTTCACATTTCAATAACAATCGAACACTTATTCTATCAAAGTCTTATATCTTTTTACATTCGAGTAAACTGTGGTAAGGAAGCTTAGGACCCTTTTATATCAATTGAAACTCAATGTCTCTAGCACACCTGACATTTATTGTTCACCCACGAACAATTTGATTTTATGAAAGTTCATCAAATTTTAATATTTCATAGTGATTTGAGTTTTAAAGATTTAAATATAGATGAAGAGATGGATAAAATAATTTTTATTTTTAAAAGATATACTTTTATTAATATTTGGAGCAACATTATCCTTTAATAACCCTTAATTAAATCCATAAGTGTGAAAAGAAATAGTAAACAACACCATTTATTTATAATTGATATGATATCTAAATGGGAGGAAAATTCTATTTGAGTTGATAATTTTATTTAAACTATAGGTCTTTAAAAATATATTGGTTAAAGTTTTGAAATTTAAATAAACTTTTTTGAGATTCACAAAATTATATTAAATATTGTCAATTAGATAATTTTTTAACTCAAATAAATATAAAAAGAATATTCTTTTTTAAACTCAAATTTTTTTCTAATCAACCCATTTATAATAAATATAATTTGTTTAAATAGAGTATTTATTACTTGATTTGGAAAAAGGGACATAGCACAATTTAAAACACTCAAAAAGAGACATGTGTCACAATTTGAAGTATACACAAAATGACATGTGACATTTAAAAAGATACATATTAAAATAATTATTGCCTAATCAATTTAATAACTTTCTCGTAACCTCTCACTAAAATATTTTATACATAATATCAGTTTAAATAATTGAAATAACTTTGAAATTTGAATTATATTTAGTATAAATAATTATTATGAGTACTTTTAAATTTTAAAATTTAAAATAGAATCCATCTTTAAAATTCAAGTCAATATATCTTTAATTACTTAAAATAAGATGTTAATCCATCAATATAAATATTTAAAATAATATTTTAAAGTAAATTTAGCTATATAAATATATATTTTACACACACATATAATGTGACCACTATTTTAGTTTATCTATAAATATTTAAAAATTTTGTCCAAATCTATTTACAATTAACAACAAAACCTAACTTTTTAAGTGTCAAATCATATATAAAATACACATAAAGTTATTAATAAGATTTGACTTAAATTTTATAAGCCTCACCTTTAAGAGCTCTAGTTCATAAACTCATTTTTCTTAAACCGGACATCTATTGATAAGACTTATGGTTAAGCTTGAAAGCTTGTGTGGTTTTTTAAAAAATAAAAATTTTAATTATACTAATACATATATAGATTATAAAGTACCTCAATTAAATATCTAAAAGACAATAATAACTTTTGATGTATAATCAAAATAATACAAACAATAGAATATAAGATAAGCTATATAAATCTTAATTTTCTATCATCCAAAATATAAATATAATGTTAAGTATTTTGGTAGAAATTTATTTTTGGCTAAAAATTTTAATATGATTTGAAATTGATTAGTTTTAATTTAACATATATTCAAAATTTTACTGAAAATATTTTTTATTTGGATATGAATGATAAAATTGCATCCAAAAACTATTATTGGTCTCTTTTCTTGGTTAAAAAAATCGTATAATATTTCATCCTTAAAGTAAAAATATTAAATAAAAAATAGTGATATATATAATAAAGATAAATAAATTAATTATTAAAATATATCATAATAAAATAATTTTTCAAAATTAAAAATTTAATTTTAAAATAAAAATCATGTTTAAAAATAAAAAAAAGATTACATTGAAAATACATTGAAAAAGAACACTTAAAAAATAATTAAATTATATTTATAAAATTATCATAAGAAATAAAATTTAAAATACTATATTATAATATCTAAAAGAACATAATTTAAAGTTGCTGAAAAATCTTAATTGATTAAAATTAAAATTTAGATTTTAAAAATAATTTTAATATTTATATTTATATTTATTAGGATTATATAATATCTTTTTGTATTTTATTAAAAATCCTAATTTATTGTAGTAAATAACTAATTAAATGAGAAAAAATGTTATAAATGTGAAGATATTATATAATTGTCTCATAATGAAATAATAACTTGATTTTAATAGATAAATCTATACATTTTATTAGTCTATTTTTTAAGTTGAACTAGTCAAAATATAACCAGAATTTAATTTTATTACTGTATGAAAATATAAAATAATCTACTCGCTCCATTTTAAATTGTTCAATTTGAATTTCAAATAGATAAATCTAGGTAAAATAAATAAAAATATGTAAAAATGATAATGATACAAAACGGGGAAGGAGAAGAGAATTTTTGAATAGTACTTAGAAATATACTTTTAGCATACCAAACAATTACATAAAGTCTCTTTATATAGGTTCCCTTAGGAGGTCTAACGGTAACTAACCGTAGTTGAATTTTTAACGGTAAATAACCATATTTGAATTATCCTCTAATCTCTTTAGTTTACACATCGATACCCCCTTCAAGAACCCTTGACCTCAAGGGTTAGAAATGACAAAATTAAAGTGTTGTTTCTGTAATTAAAACAAAGAAATCTAGCTAGCTTCTTCATTTAGAAACTTTTTCCATTTCACAAGAACTTCTATAATAATCCTGCCTTTTCTTCTACCCCTCCGTTCATTCAATATTTTCACTGGAATCAAATCTGAAGGAGATTTTGGCCAATCAATAGGGGGATGCCATTGCTTTACTGAAGGATCAGGGCATAATTTAAGCAATGAGACATGAAAAGTAGAGTGAACCCTTGATTTTGGAGGTAATTCCAGCTTATATGCCACTGGCCCTATCTTCTTACAGATTTTATAAGGCCTAAAATATCTTAGAGCTAATTTCTAAGAGCTTCTTTGAGGCTGTAGAAATTTGACAATAAGATTGTAATTTAAAAAATACCCATTATCCTACCTCAAACTCTCTATCACTTCTATGCAACTCTGCTTTCTGCTTCATTCTATTTGCAACCATATTAAGATGATATTCCACCATTGCTAAAGTCTCTTTTTTTACTGAAAAAGTTCTGCTAACAGCTTCCACTACCGCATCTTTGGGCAAATATGGAATATGCATAGGAGGAACTTCTCCATACAATAGTTCATAAGGAGTAGTTTTTATAGAGTGTGATAATGTAACATCCCAATTTAAATTTTAATAGTTAATTTGGGTTAATAGAAATTAAAAAAATATATTTAGAGGTAAGCAAATTAGTAGGAGATGATTATTAAATCTAACTTAGGATATAATTCTAAAATAAAAAAAATATAATTAATTAATTAAAAAAATTAATTAAATTATTATTATTATTATTAAAAAAATAAGAAAAGGTATGAGAAAGAGGAAGGAAGAAAGAAGAAAAAGAGACCAGCTTTCGGTGTGTCCGCATGCAATGATCATACATATAAAATAATAATAATAATAAAAAGAGGAGGAGGAATGGAGCTTTCGGCGTAAGTGCGATATACATAGATATATAAAAAGAAGGAAAGGAAAGCAAAAAAGGAAATGTGGGACCCACATGTTTTTTTTAAAAAAACAACAAATGTCCTCTTCCCTTTCATTTTCCTTCTCTTCTCACTTCTCTTTCGCGCACAAACAGAGTAAGCGACTGTGATCAAGTTCATCAACGCAGCGTGTTTAAGTTTTAAAGGTGAGACTTCTTAATAGGATAATTAGGGTGAGATTTCAAACTTTTCAAGATTAAATAAGTGTTTTGAAAATTTTTCTTATTCATCTAGCTCCTTCAGTTTTTGATTTTGTGATGGTGAAAAATTTAAGATTTGAAAGAGGGATGAATTTATGTTGAATAAATATAGTTTTTAAGGTTCTTAGTAGTATAATAAATGTTCTAGAGTATAAATTTGTTGATGATCTTTAAATTTATGGCTTATGGATCAAATCATAGACTAGATTTTTTTTATCTAAAAATATATGTTGATTTATTGAGGTTTAGATGATTATTTGGGATGAGAAATGAATTATTATGGCTATAAGATTATGATTCTAAGCTAGAGACTTAATTTTAATTTTTGAATATTTTAGGTGCGAATTTATGAAATAAAAGAAAATTTTGATAATAGAAATTAGTTTAGAAGTTGATTTTTAGATTATTAATGTTTATTGATAATTAAAAGAGGAGTTAAAAATTTTACTTAATAGTATTAACTCTAGATTTGTATTAAGATTGAGATTAGGAATTATGTTATATTTTTAATTCTATTATTAGAATTATTTTATATTAGTTTCAAAAATTGAAACTAATATTTATAAATAATATGTTATTTGTAGATTGTATTATTGGTGAAGATTGTGGTGGGAGAGAAATTGTAAGGAATAATTTATTGAAAAAGCCACAAGGTAACCATGCTTTTAATTTGTGATTAGTGTTACTTCATGTTAATTAGGTGATTATTGAGAAAATTATAAATTTTGTAATATTATATAATTGTGCAATATTATTATGAATTTGATTGATTATTGTGGGAGGTATTGAGAGACTTGTTATTTTGTTGTATTTTATTTGCTATATGATATGTCCTTATTAAAACTTAATAGGTGGTTTGTAAGGGCTCGGGCTAATCTATAATTTTGCTGTTTTGGATGACCTTTACTGCATGTAAAGAGTACCTAGATTTAATTGTTAGGGTTGCTTTTCACTTTGTCGTCTTGCAAACGAGTCTTCTATAATAATTAATATATTGAAATGCATTATTTAAAATTGTCAAGGGTTTCTTTTTGAAAACTTGGAATCTTATTCATGACAAAATGTTCAAATTCTCAGATGTTCCCCACTTGTCAAAATGGAAGCCGAAGTCAACAGAATGTGAACTTGCAAAAGCACTGCATTCTTGTTGCAGCAAGTAATCCCGACCCTGTGCCGACACAAGTTTATGTACCGCGCCTGCAGAATTTAGATCAAGGTGAAACCATAGAATCAGATACAGGGAATCGTCTACATGATGCTGAAGCTGTTGCTAAAGCATTTCCTCAGGTATTCCTTTAAAAAAAAAAATGGTTGTCTGTCTCTTTCATTGTTCCCTTATCTCTGGAATGTAATCTTTTGTATGCAGTGTTCTGTCTCTCTATCTGTTATCTGTCCAAAGCAGCTCCCCAAAGTTAAAGTCATTTACAATGCGGTAAGGATGGGTTATGACTCTTTTCACAAAAGAATTATGTATTTTATTTTCAAAGGACGAGATATCAGATACTTTGTCTAATGTAAGCCACTCATACCACAAGCATGATCTGATAACTTAGTAAAGTTGATGCTCATATTTGTAAAGCAAAAGTAGGGCATATTTAGTGAACTATTTGCTAGTCTCCCTCCTTTTAATGTTTATTTTTAAATTTAGCATGCAAATGAAATTAGCTTTTGAGCTCTTCAAGGTGTTGACTATATCCCTTTGGCAACGTAGGGGAAGCGAAACAGCTGTGCAGCAGGTCCACTTGTTGATATAAAAAACTCCAATTTTCTTGTTTTAATATCTGAAAGTTTCAGGGAAGCCTGTTCTGCTTTGAGTCGTTCTGGAATCACAACTCTACCTTCAAATCAAAGCCCTGTGAAGGTGGATGCAGGCCCTGTTGCACCAGTTACCGGTACAGTACTGACTTCTATGCCACAAGGTTGATTATAAGCTTAGCAGATGCATCGCTTATCAAAGATCGTTATAAATGCTAATTATGTGTATATCAATAGACTTGCTTGCTTGACACTTGTATAATCCTTTGGCATCGATTGAACACATCAGACAATCTTAGATCTCAAATATACGATTTTGCACTACATTCAGCTTCTTTTATTGATATGAATGGTTTTGGGGGTGAAATGACAGTTTACAAAGACATGAATTGACTGCAGTGCCCCTATGGTAGCATCATTGATGTGCAATGCCTAGGTTTTTTAGGAAGGTTTAAGGCCATAGCATATACTACGATAATATATTGCCTTTAGTTTCCTTTGGAGATCTTCTTGCGTGTTTCCAGGTTCATTTCCTTAGCTAATTAAGTGGTTTGTTTTGTATGTGTCTCTGCATCAAAGAAGATGATTTTTCATCCTATAGACCTAGGTTCTCCTTTCATCATTAAAACTAGGAGGAAATGTCATTTATACTTCTTCCTTTTAATTATCATTTTGGAAGACATTCTTAACATCAAGCTAATGAAGAGGCAAATCTAGATTGGCTTCTAAGGACAACAAGATTTGTTAGGATATGTGAAGTGTAAGTGGACTTGATTTGATGTGGAAAGTTCAACATCGAACAGAATTGAGTTATATATATATGTATATAAGTGAAAGGACTCATAACATCGAGCATTAAGGTTTTGGGTTAAGATGTGTTGTTGAGCCCACTTATATGCTTCCTCTTACTGTTATTAGAGCATAGGATATGGCAGGGAATTATGTGAAGATGATGTTGGAAGCTTTAGTTTCAGGGAGGACTTGGTATTTGTAGCGCCTCTAGTATGGGGAAGCTTGTTGCATGGTACTAGTCTTACCTTGTATTGGTACTATCCAAGTTATATTTTACCATGAGTTTCTTTCCTTGAGGAAGATCTACTTCTTCCCATATGCCATTCTTTTTTAGGTCTTTCATCTTTTTCAAAGAGCTTTTCTCAACTTAGAAATTGTAAGAGCCTCAATATCATACAGCATCTTTATTCTATCAAGATCAATGGTGAAAGCATAATATTGAGGCAAAAGGGTTTTGTAAGATGCAAATTTATCTATAGGATATAAAGAGCAATGGGAAGATCAAGATTATCAACTTCAGTTATTGGTTTAGAATCATCAGGATTACCTTGCTCTTCTTTTTTGAATTATCTTCACTTTGCAGGTAAAGATCTAGCATTGGTTTACTACTTGGTTTCTTCATCCGTACTTAGATCGTCAAGTCCTTCCCATTTGTGTTGTTTGCATTGGTGTCTCCTCTTGTGTTAGGATTCACTTCAGTTTTTGGGATGGGAATATTTTCTACCATAATGCTACTCTTAGGATTGATACTACTCTTAGACTTCGCACTCAAGAGTAGTGAGGATTAGGTAAAGCTCTTTCTTCCATGGTTCGAAATTAACTCCAACTCTCCATCGAATTGAAGACCGAGGGTAAAATGTGTTTCATCATTAAATGTGACATCACAACTAACATGCTCTTTTCAATGGGAGTTTACATGAACCAAAATGTGATGAGTGGCCTTTGTCCATTAGTTGTCTCTTCTGGCACTGGTATAACAATTCCTACTCCCAGAACGTCTCAGCAAGCACAACAGGGGATGCAACTACTTGTTGTGAATAATGCAGCAGCTAATATGCCTTTACAGCAACAGACCTCAGGTGCTCTGCAATCTACACAATCAAAATATGTGAAGGTTTGGGAGGTTTGTCTTGATCCCTTTTTAATCCTTGTAATTTTGCCTCTTAAGCTTTTACTTTCATGCATTTTCCTCTTTTCTTGGGAATATTTTAGACTAATTGGCATGGCATATGAAATCCTACCATTTTCTCTACAATGAATTTTGTCCAGCATCAGTTGAGCCTCATGCATTTTTCATCAGTTTCTTTATATTTGATAAGAATAATTTGTCACTTATCCCTTGTAAGGCTTAAACTTGAGTTATAGCATGATTGGAGTATGTTTTTGAAGTATTACTGCTAATCAATTTTTACCATCTAATTCGAAACTGTTATTTGATACGAAATTAAGTGTTTAATTTAGAAAAATCAAGGCTGTTATTGCAAACTGCAATTTTCATTTTAGTTGCAATGGTTGCCTTCTCTGTTATGGTTCACTAAGGTAGACCATAGTTTTGTCAATTCCCGATTCTGTTGGATCATGTCTTTGTTTTTCCGCTAGTATCTTTTTCTTGAAGAGAATATTGGATGTTGATAAATTCAGTTTATATATCTTAGATGGATGGCCTTTCTAAATCCTCTGGTGTGTCTTCACTTCTTGCCTACATTATGTTAGATTATCATTATCACTATTTAGTAATTACATATCATAAATGTCTGTATTGTAGGTTGCATTATATCTTTTTTGCTTTGCCACCATGTTCAATTTTTATTTTCCCCATGTAATGCAATGGTCATAACTTGTACTACCTTATTCTCTGGTAAATTATGGGTGGTTGACATTATGGAATGGACAATATCATTTGCTAAGAGGTGAGGAAAAATATTGCTGAAAATTCTTATTATCTTGTATTTATACCAAGGCTTTAGAAATTGAACCAGTCATTGAACTGGTCGAGATAATGGTTCATGGGTTCACTAGTTGAACCGATTGATCATAAATTAACACATTTTTAATTTTATATTGAAATATATGATTATAAGTATAAATATATACATCGGATGATCATTTACAAACATTTTAAAGGCAAATAGTAACTAAAATATCATACAAACAACAACAACAACAACAACAATAAGCCTTATTCCACTAGGTAGGGTCGGCTACATGGATTATATGATGTCATTTTGATCTATCATTTATTAAGTTTTTAGAAATATTGTTAATTAAAAGGTCTCGCCCAATAACTTTCAAAAGTGTTCTCTTCATTTTCCTTTATTCTTCTTGACAGGGCTTAAAGTCATCTGTTCCACTCTCTTCATAGGTGCCTCCCGTGGTCTTCTTTGTATATGTTCGAACTATCTCAAATGATTTTTTACTATTTTTTCTTCAATAGGTGCCATGCTCACTTTTTTCCATATTCGCTCATTTCGAATTTTGTCTTTACGTGTATATCCACACATCCATTTTAACATTCTCATTTGTGTCATTCCAACTTTATGCTCTTGCTATCTTGTCAAAGCCCAACATTCATTACCATGTAAAATTGCTGGTTTTATAGCAGTTTGATAAAACTTTCCTTTAAACTTATCAAGTACCTTACGATCGCAAATAACTCCTTTAGCCTTTCTCTAATTAAACCACTCCGCTTGTATCCTATGTGTAATATCTCTATCAATGTCCTCATTTTGTTGAATAATCGCTCTCAAATATGTAAACTTTTTCACTTGAGGTATGGTCTGATCACCCAACTTCACTTTCAAGTTACTACTCACTCACCCCTTATCAAAATTACAATGTAAATATTCTGTTTTACTCCTATTCAGGTGGAAATCTTTTGACTGCAAAGTCTTCCTTCATAATTCAAGTTTACAATTTATCTCTTCTTTTGTCTTTACAATAAGAACTATGTCATCCGCAAAAAGTATGTATTTAGGAATTTTCTCTTGAATATGCTCAGTCAAAACGTCTAAGACTGGAGCAAACAAATAAGGACTTAAAGATAATCCTTGATGCAATTCAATCTTTGTAGGAAAATCTTCTGTTTCACCATCAAGCGTTCTTATACTAGTTGTTGCCCCCTCATACATGTCTTGTATAGCTCGAATATAGGCAACCCGGACACCCTTCTTTTTCAAAGCCTTTTAAAGTACTTCTCTTGATATATGATCATAAGCTTTTTCCAAATTAATGAAAACCATATGTAAATCTTTGCCTTTACATTGATACTTTTTCATTAATTCCCTTAGTAGATAAATTGCTTATGTAGTCATTCTTCTTGGCATGAAGCTAAACTGATTCTCTGAAATCCCAGTTTTCAATCTCAACCTATGCTCAATCACTCTTTCTCATAATTTCATAGTATGACTCATAAGTTTAATCCCTTTATAGTTAGCACAATTATGAATCTCTTTTATTTTTATAAGTAGGAACTAAGTTGTTTTTCCTTCAATCGTTCGACATTCTCTTGGATTGTAGTATCTTATTGAATAACTTGGTTAACTACCGCACTCCTTCTTCACCCAATCATTTTTACATTTCAATAGGGATACAATTAGGTCCATTAACTCTACTATTTGCCATTTTCTTAAGAGCTTCTCTCACTTTCCATGCTCGTATTCTTTGAAAAAATGACAAATTTTGCTTTCTTTCAGAAGTTACTAAATATTCTAAGTTAACTGATGAACCCCCATCATCATCGAAAAGGTTAGAAAAGTATGTCTCTCATTTGTCTTTAATATCATTATATATGACCAAAACACTTTCCTCTTCATCCTTTATACACTTTAGTTGTTCTAAATCTCTTGATTTTCTTTCCTTACTCTTAGCAATCTTATAAATTTTTCATTCTTCATCCCTTGCTCCAAGAACATTATAAAACTCTTCAAATGCTTTATAGCAAGCTTCGCTCATGGCCCTCTTAGTTTCCCTTTTAGTTATATGATACCTTTTTCAATTTTCATCATTATTTCACAAATGAATGGCTTTGAAACACTCCTCCTTATACTTGATTTTTTCCTGTACACTGTCATTCCACTACCAAGACTCCTTATTTCTCAGATCAAAACCTCTTGATTCTTCCAAAACTTCTTTTGCAACCTTCCTTACTTTCACAGCCAAGTCTTCCTACAAGGTATTAGCATTTCCTCAAGACTCCCAAATTCCTTTGGCCAAGAGATTTCTCTTGAAAATTTCTCCCTTTTCACTTTTTAATTGCTACCATTTAATCCTTAGAGTTATTACTTGTCAATGCTTTTGGTTTCTACTCATAATACATACATCAAGGACAAGGACCCTGTTTTGTGTCGTAACAACATCCCTAAAAATCACCTCACAATTTTTACAGAGTCTTCTATCTGCGTTCCTCACCAAAAAGAAATCAATCTGTAATCTTGAAGCTCTGCTTTTACAAGTGATGAGATGCTCATTCTTCTTCTTGAAACAGGTATTAGCAATCTTGAAACCATACCTCAAAGAGAAATCAAGGATGTGTTGTCCTTCGTTATTTAGTTCCCTAAAACCCAAACCATCATGCACCCTCGTATAATGACCTGCCTCTCTCCTGACATATTCATTAAAGTCTCCTCCAATAAAGATCTTTTCATTATGTGGTATACTTTCGATCAACCTCTCTAAGTCTTTCCAAAATAGTTCTTTAAGACTAGCTTCTGTCCCAACTTGAGGTGCATAAGCACTAATAATATTGATAGTCTCTCGTCCGATGATCATTTTTAAGGAAATAATTCTGTCTCCAATTCTATTAACTTCTACTACGTTCTTCCACTCCTTATCGATAATGATACTCACCCCATTGCGTGTGTTTACTTTTGCAGTATACCAGAGTTTGAAACCTTAGATATCCTTAGCTTGTTCACTAGCCCATTTAGTCTCTGCAGACACAAGATATTAACTTTTCTTTGAATCATAACTCCAACCACTTCCATAGATTTACCAGTCAAGGTTCCAACATTCCAAGTACTAAGTCTGATTTTGCTCACATGGACTAACTTCTTTAGCTGCACTCATCCAAAATAACGCGGTAGCCCTTGCTCATTTAACACTACATTCGGGCGTCAATGCAGCGGCCTTAATTTACTTATCACTGCACTTGCACGTTACTTACGAGCAACAACCTAGCATTAGCACAAAAACATCTATTGTCTATATCCATGTGTAATTCAACAAAGTTTTACGTTGGCTGTTGAGGGTTTGACACAACCCTCCTCTTTTGTTCGGGTTTGAGATTGGCTATAAAACAGGCGTAGTTAAACTAATCAAAGATCAATTATTAAAAAGAAATTTATATTGGAGAGAAAAACTAAAATGTTTTTTGTTCTTTCAAGCTATGATCATCAGGCTTTTTTTGTAGGCCAATTTAAACTGAAATTTAAAATATTTTGATCAAGAAAAAATATAGATAAATACTATGAAGTACAAATATGAAATATATTTTCCATTATCAATAAAAAAGTCATGAAAATTGACAAAAAAATCACCTAAGATGAGATAAAAATAGAAAAAAGAAGTTGTGGGCAAAACAAGGACTGGAGGAGCGTGCTATGGTAAGAAGTGAATCACACATCATGTGGGGATGAAAGATGGAAGGGATAGGGTACTCTATAAAAGGAAGCAATGGGAGGCAATCAGGCAAGGAGTGGTGTGCAGTGGAAGCTCTTGTGAGCTTCAATTGGCCAAACGTTTTTGTACGAGACCCAACTTAGTCTTTTTGTCTTTTAATAACTTAGTCTTTTTGTCTTTTAATGTAAGCATTCTTTAAAAAAAAATTGGCTCAGTTCTAATTGGTCATGCTAGTTTTTGATCAGGTTATCTAGTCTTTGACTTGCTTGTTTGAAGTATACTAAACTAGACTCAAAGATGGTTCTCGATTTGATTAGTTGAATTGGTCAGTTTCGTTTGTTTTTGGAAACCTTGGTTTATTCTATTGTGGTTCATTATATCTAATATGCCCTTACAATTCTGCTTTAATCTCATTGAAATTATCTCTTTATTTTCTAAAATTCTATAAATCAATTCTATGTTGTCCAGTGGCTGTAACCATAAATAATAGTAAATCATGAAATGATAAGTAGGAAGTGCTCCAAAGCATAAGTCATGAAAATTTCTAATAAGACCCAAACCAATATCTCCACAGAAACAGCAACAAAGACAATAATAACAATAAATGAGGGGAAAATGCTGAGGTTTTGATATTAATAAATTGAGAGAAACTGAATTAGAGTTACAAGTCTTCCTCTGATTCTAGCCAAAACCTTATCTCTCCTGAATGATCACAAAAGTAACAACATTACAAGCTCAAACCTCACAAGAGGGTTCACTCCTTCTGGCATTCGAGAGGCCAGTCTATCCTCTCCATTCTCTTACAAGATACCCCCTCAATACAAGCAAAAAGATAAAATATACCCACAGCATGGACAGCATGGCTTGCCCCCTAGCCCATACCTCCCAAAAGATCTTAATTATGGCCAAAGATCACACGCTACTGTTCCTTACGTCTAGAGACCGAAGGATAAACCTCTGGACTAGTTACCATTATTCTACTAGAGTCATTCTTCCCCTTTGACTTCCTTTGATATGTCTTAGTAAAATAATGATGGGCTCTATCAATTTCCCATTGTTATTCTTGCATGCTTTTGCATAAGTTTTATATTCTTAATTGTTGCAATTCATGCAGGGGAGTTTATCTGGGCAAAGACAAGGACAGCCCGTATTTATCACCACACTAGTGGTATGATCGCAAAACTTGATAATTATCTATCTGACTTCTCTATTCATTTTATCTTAGATCTCCTTACTTGACCATTGCAATAATCTTATTCATTTTCAGTTTCATTCCTTGGTAATTCCTGTAATTTTGTGGCATGAATTAATTTTATGAATACTTTCTTCATGGCAGGGTTATCGGAGTTTTTCAGCTTCTGAATTGTAAGTTCAGGAAGTTTTATTCTTGAAAAAATATCAATTAAGGACTGTTGAAAGAAATTTATATAAATGAAGGATTACTTCTTGTCAAAAATTGAATGGATACTTGTTGATTTAAGTTAGTCTTCTATCAATAAGTATCAATTTAGATTTTTACAACTTATTTTAAATTAATAACAATCCATTAGGGATTTTTTCCATTCAGATTTTGATAACAACTAGTCCTTGATTGATATAAAATTTCTCCAGCAGTCCTTTATCACTATTTGCCCTTTATTTATTCTTTCTTCATGAAGTCTAAGGATCATTTTCAGTGGTTAGACTTTCTAAAACTGTTAATCCAATATTCTTTTCTTTATGGGTCGTTAAGTTGATTCTGCATTAAAGAAATTACTGACTCCTGCTGCCTTGATGGCTTACTTGGTTTTTCAAAAAGTTTGAGTTACTAGATGATGATTTCCCTAGAACCATGCTTTTGGTAGTGGGTAACCATTAATTTTTTTTTTTTTTTGGCCAACAACAGGGTAACCATTATTAACAAGCATCTTGAGAAGCTAACTTTTGAGTTTTTATTCTACTGATCCACGAAAATCAATAAATTCCTAGAGTTTTTGATTTTGGGACTTGGAATAGAAAAGGTCAAACTTCTAACCTCCTCACTTGAGTTTTTTTATCCTTAACAAGTATAAGGAGTAGGCTCTATGAACAATAGGGATTATCTCTTTTGAAGTCTCAAGGGAAAATGGAAGATCTCTTCTAACTAAATTTTAACATATACAAGGAAAGAGATTTGAACTCCTAACCGCTTGCTCAAGTGACAAGAGCCCCTACTACTCAATGTAGATTTTAGAGAAGAAAATATTTTCACTTATCATTCATGTGAGATGTGATAGCATATACATACATATGTATAATTATATACAACTGGAGAGAAGACAATAGAGCTCGAAAACGGGGTGAGAGGAGAAATGAGTAAGAGTTATGAAAGGACACCACATCTTAATAGGCTCAAGTTTATGTATCCTTTCTTTTTATTTTATATTAGTTATTGGGTCCAACTTTATTTGATGTGGGATTTACCATATCCGCTTAAGTTCACTCATATTTGGATAACCTAACAACCTCCTCTTCAAATGTGAGTCCACAAGCTCCTCATATCAACCATGTCCCAAACACCAAGTACTTGTTCTTCCAATTAGGACCAGTCTAGATTTCGAGTTTCAAACAGTGTGGTGCATACAAGTCCCTATTATAGCTAGTCAATCCCATTTTAGAATTCAAATGTGTGTGAAATAACAGGCTTACAAGTCTTGAGTGAAACGAGGCTCCGATACCATGTAGATTTTAGAAGAGAAAATATTTTCTCTTATCATTCATGTGAGATACCGTAGTGTGTGTGTGTATAAGTGGAGAGAAGACAATAGAGTAAAGACTAATAATGTACAATAATTACTCAATAGTCCCACACACACACACACACATTAATTTTAGTTGGTATCCCACTTTAGTTATAATTCTAGTGATTTATGAAATCCATTTCAGGGTTGCCTATACAAGTTATATATTCTTGATCTAAAGAACATGTTTTTTTAACAAAGCAAAGTGTGCATGAGTATTCTGTATTATGTGCAAATGGAAGTGATTGTAACTATTTGGGTCGACATTTCTCCCATTTCTTCATAGTAAATTACCTTAAGACATACGAAATATTTAACTTTTTCATGACACATCATTTGCTCCAAATTTATATCAATATGGCTGAAGCAGTATGGGATTTTCCTAAGTGTCTTCCTGGCCTAAATCATCAACAGTTGCTTTAAATTGTCACCTATATTGACCTAAATTGGCATTAATTATGAAAAGTTAATGACTGCTTTTTATGGGTCCCAGGCTTGCATCAGACTGGCGACACACAATGCGAATAGATCGTCTTATATCTCAAGACCACATGAATAACCAGTAATTTCTTTTTTGTGCTCAGCTTGGGTCTTGCTCATTCATGTTAGAGTGTGTGGCTGTATGTGTTCAGACATTACTCTGTAGATATTCTAACATGACAATGTTTTGACAAAAGGCAATACGTTGGGAAGGCAGATTTCCTAGTTTTTCGGGCTTTGAACCCGCATGGGTTTCTTGCTCAGCTTCAGGAAAAGAAGCTGGTAATTTATCAGTGCATCTTAGTTTTTGTTTCCCTTTTCTTTAATTTCTTCTTCTAATCTGCAACAATATCATTAATTGATAAGCCTCGCACTAGAAAGAAGATAAAATGTAGCTGTTATAATGGGAGGATCTCCAATCAATTAAATTTGAAGATTAAAAAAAGAAATCACTTCACTAAAAATATAATATCTTAGATTACATGGAACTATGACTCTGTCTGCATGATGTTATCTTTGAAAGTAATTATTTATATTAATCTCAACTTTGTTCTGCATTCCTCCCCTAAAAAGAATGGCATGTCCCATATTGCAGTTTATGATGTCCCATATGCCATATATTAATTATTAGTGGGAAAAAATAACCAATTGATAAAGTGAACCTTATATGTGAGTTTATGATATGCACTGAAATTGTATGGTTCATTATCTGTGTTTAAAAGTTGCAGTTTATCAATGTCTTGAATACAATGATTTCAAATTTGTCTAGGCAATGAACTAGAAAGTTTTGTTACCAGATATAAGTTGGGATCACAAGTGTATAACCAGTTGCTCAAAATTTGTAAATCACACTTTGTATAATTATCTGTGTTAGTTCAAACTCCATTTTTGAGATGCTGAATGAGGATGGATAATTTACTTGTTTCATTGAAGGATTGCAACTGTTGTAAGTTTTGTGCCTGCTGCCTGCATATGCTACGAGCTTGTTTTGTGGGTATTCTTTGTTTGTTTGCATGTAAAGGGATAGTTATTGTAAACTTGAATTAGGAGAACGCGGGCAGGGCATACTTATGAGACTCATAGAACACAAACGGGCAGCATTTCCTGTGTTTTTCTTTTTAGAGTAAGTAGAAGAAGAATTGACTAGAAAAAGAAGAGAAGTGCAGAAGGGGGCATAAAATAAAGGGTTAAAGAGAATTTTTTTCCTTCAACTATTCACTTAGGCCTAAATTTTCGTGTGGTGCAATTTCTTGTTCAACTTTTAAAAATGGTGCATTGGGCACCTTGGTGTTAAAAAAAATAACTTTGACTGTTAGGTGGTCTAAAATATTCAAGAAAAGGATCTCAAAACTTATAAAAAAAAACCCATAAAATTACAAATATGTATTCTATAAGAAAATTGATATCGACTAAGTGTTCTTTGAGGTCCCTTTTTATATATGCACAATTTTCAAAAGTGGAGGAGGGACATTGCACCACTTGAAAGTTTAGAATACCAAATGTTTCTGAGCGAATAGTGAAAAGCAAAAATGCTCGTTAACCCTAAAATAAAATCTCCCTCCTAGATCAATTAAAAAATAAAAAACTGAGCAAAGGAAAGGAAAGGAAAAGAGAGAGCGCTCAACGGGGCTCTCCTCTGCTATAATTTAAATTCTCCACTACAACTCAACTCCACAAAAATAAGAGGTGGCTGTAATCATCTACTTAATATGAACTTATTTGTGGTTGAAATTATAATCTGTCTGGATGGACCGTTTATATTTCTTGGTTTTGGTATGCTTATCCTGGTGCTGAATTTCTTTTGTTTTTTTTCCCCATCATTTCAGTGTGCCGTTATCCAATTACCCTCACAGACGTTGCTACTATCTGTCTCTAGCAATGCCTGCTGCTTGATTGGGATGCTTTTTCCTGTGGTGAGAAACTCTAAACTCAAGCCTCTTGAACATTAAATTTTCTTCTCTTTCATGGGAATAGGGATGAATGAAATCCACACTTTTTTCCGTAATCAATTAGCTCACACATCAAAAGAATTTCTGAGTTTCTTTGAAGTATGCCGATTTTAAGGTACATGCAACATTGTGTTCATTATTATACTGTCGTGAGAGTTCGAGTGAGTACTTTTCAATTAGTTGTTGATGCTTCCATTTAATGCTATTTACACTGTAGTAAGCATAGAAGTTGAGCTACTCTTCTCTTGCCCTGGAGATGAGTTAACTATAAAGCTTGGACACACCTATTTTCAAACTTGTTATGTGACCAACTTGGTTGTGATGAAAGCACAATCATGACACTATCAACAGGCAACTGACCTTTGGTTTGATTATATATGCAGAACGGTCATTATCTATTTTTTATTGTTGTAAAAATGTTGTATCATGTAAAATATTCTTTATTTATGCAGTACATTACTATACTTGCACCTTATATTTTGAAAGAACATTGTTGAATCCCCATTCACGAAGGGCAGGATACCTGGCATGCGTGCTTGTGCAACCTAAACTTCGACCTTCCTCTATAGTCAAAAACCAACCTAAATCTCTGCACCAAGGCCCTGTTTCATATGAGGACTGGTGAGGTGGGACTAAGACTGAGATTGGCTAGTACCAACTTTTTATGTTTGGTACAAGGTAATGAGAAATTGAATCCCAATCCCATCTATGTGGGATTACCCAATACCACCATCCCACCAGTATTGGAAAATTAGTCCTGAGATTGAATATTTTCAGACCAAGGCCCTCTACCCCATCTGTTTTCGTCGTGTTGCCATCGCTTGCTGGAGGATCAGCGCCCCTGGCTCCCTAACATCTTCTCTCCCTTCCATTTCCTTGCTCATCGTCGGCGTCCTTTGGAAGATCAGATTTGGTGAGCTCCTCATCATTGGCATGCCTTGAACTTTAGATTTAGTGAGCCAGAGAGAAATCCCGCTCCCTCCTTGGCCCAGATCTGGTGAGCTTGACGTCAGTGGAGGTAGTGGCTAAGGAGGACGAAAGTGGCTCAAATTTGGAAGCTAGATTTGGTTATGCAAGTTCAATAGTAATTGAATATAGTGGTGTCTTCTTGTTTACACTTCCACTATTTCTCTGAAAATTGCTATGCAACAGGACACGGTGGTAATTAACCCACGATTGTCCAGCCAGCAGCAGCAATAAATGCAACAGCAGCAGCATCAGCAGATGCAATCGCAGCAGCAGCCTCCTCAACTTGAGCAACTGCAACATCAGCAGCAGATTCCTCAGCAACAGCAAATGGTTGGTGCAGGGATGAGTCAAGCAGCGTAAGTTCAAGGTCCGGGACGGTCACAACTGGTATCTCAGGGACAGGTATCATCGCAAGGTGCACCCAACATGGGTGGAGGGGGATTCATGAGTTAGCTCCGTTCTGCATATTGTTCCTCCACAATCTATGCTAAGATTATATGAGAGTCATGATGTATGAGTCTGAACCTCAGAATGCTGTTGAAAAAATTGATCACGTGGCAGTTTTAGAGATAGGTTGAGTTTCAAATTGCAGATAGTTTAGCCTTGTGATTATTTATTTTGCCAATGAACCGTAAAGAACCATGCAGGAGGCTTTATATTGTTATAAGAATTAATGTTAACAACGCAATGCAAGTTTGCTAGCTAGATACTGTGGCATAGGTTGCCCTTTCCCCCGTTTATATGGGCATATATTTGGGTGATGGTTTTTTTTTTTTTTTCCGGGTCAAAGTGTGATGACTGTTTTAAAAATGAATTGGTAAAGAACTGATTCAAGGTTCATTCAGTGGAACCAAATAAACGTTTTTGTAATATATATATATATATATATATATATATCACTGTTAAATTTCATAATTAATATTTAAAATTAAATAATTAAATTGATTCTTATTTATAATTACATATTGAATTCAACAGTCAATTAAAAATTTGTCATCATAGTAATTATCAAGTAAATCTATAATTATTGGTAATTATGTGTAATAATACTTATAAGATATTCAAAATTAGAAGTAAACAATTATCCAACAAGTTAATTGCATTAATTGTACCGATAATAAATAATTAAAAAAGGTTTAATTTGTTGAGATGGTTTGGTTTTGGTATTTTCCTCCAATCCCTACCTCTCCTCTTAACCAATTTGCAATACAGCTACTCCTATTAGTATTTTAAAACTCAAATCAAATCGATTAGTCTAACCATCGATTACTCTACAAAATAGTTTGGTTCAATCATTTGAATCACTTGAGCATTCACATTTAAGAGAATTCATTGTAACTTGAAAATTAGAGTGGATCAACCCAGTCTAGAGACTTAAAGGGGGAAAAAAGAAAAATTTACGCTTAATTACTCAAATTCATGATTTCTTTTCTCTAATCTCTAATTCTCTACTTTAATTTTTGATCTCTCCTCTACAGCCTAGGCTGAATCTTTGATCTTTCCTCCAGCCTTTGCCTCTAGCTCTAGTGATCTAGCCTTTGGCATTGAGATTGAAATTTCGTGAGTCATGATATGATGGCATGCCTCCAACTCTATTATTTTGCTTTGAAATCACAAACTTGTGCTGACATGCCTCTATTTTCAACTCCAGTGATCTAAGCATCTAGCCTTTGGTATTGAGATTTCAAGCACAGTCGATAAATTAATGTTTATTTATATATTTGTGTTTATAAATATTATTCTTTATTTATTTTTTATGTCACTGGTTCAACCATTGATCTAACCAATTCAACTATGAGGATTATGACTTGTTGCTCTTTTAGGTTTGACGTCTAGTTCGGATTTCGAAACATTGAATAGAAAGGGGTCAAATTCATAATTTTTTAGTATCAAATTATTGAATAGAATAAGGTTAAAGGGATAAAGTTACCCTAATAAGTAATTGATATCTATAATTTTCCATAAGCACAATGTTCCCAAAATCTTAAAAATAGTACAATCTCATCTTATAGCAATGTTTGACTAATACCGATTATTAATTAACTAATTTTCATTAGGGTTAAAAGGAAATTTTGCTTTGAAATTTTTTTAAAGGAACTAATGATATTTTAAACTTTTAATTGACATAATGTTATTGAGTTGTCAATGTTTAAACCAGAAGAATACAAAAACTTGTTAACCATTGTTGGTAAATGGAAGGTGTGCGTTGCTTTTATTCCAGATTTTGACTTAGTGATGTTCAATTATAATCTAACCCAAAGTCTTTTGATTTTATGGCTATTATCAGTTGTCAAATCATTCTTCTAAATTGAATATTGATAATCTTTATTTTTTTTGCCAAAAATATTAATATTAATAATCTAAAAATACTATGGCAATTGAAAGTTTATGATATTAATTACTCAAAATTTCTCACACAAAATTTCCCTTAATCCTCAAAATTATTCAACTAATGGTGAAATGTTGGTCAAACATAATGATATTACACTATTTTTGAAACTTAGGGAAAAAAAATTACACCAATCCAAAGTTAACAAGATATTAAAGGCATGTTTAAAATTATTTTTATTTTAATATTTTAAGAACTTATGTTCTATAAAATATGTTTTGAAACAAAAAAAAATAATAAAAATTGATATTTTTTTGCATTCTTCTTTATTCTTTAGAATAATAATTTTAAAATACTTAAAAGATGTTTCTGTTTTTTCATTTTCCATAATAATATTTTATTTTTATTTTTTAAAATATTTTTAAACAAATATTATCAAACAAATTTTTTATTTTTTTATTATAAGGAACAGAAAACTGTCCCAACAGACCCCAAAGCTTTTGGAAACAAATCTGACATTTTTTTGGGCCGACGAACAAATCTGATATTCAACCCACAGAAAATGAGAAAAATGATCAAGGAGATATATCTCTTATGGGAGACACGTGTCATATTTTTCGGTTGTCCTTTTTCTTTTCCCCCCTCTTTTGGTCTTTCCCACCAATATCCTTCCAACTGAGGCATCGAAGAGAGAGAGAGAGTGATAAGTGGGGAGAGAGATGGAGACTGCTATGAGTGGGAGATTGGCTCTCTCTCCCAACCACGTCTTCAACCCTAAGCCTGGTACTTTCTTGATTTCGCTTCTGTCTCCCATTTTTGCCTTTCTTCTCTGAATATTTTGACTCTTTTGGCACTCTACTCTTTTACTCTTTGATTTCGAGTGTTGTCTATCACGGTTGCTGGAAATTTTCTGGTTCAAGTTTACTTCACTTTCAGAACCTGCCGTTTCGAATAATTACTCCTGCTGGTCTTATGCATCACCATGCGTTATTTTTCCGCCACTTTGGGAACGTTTTTGCTGGGAAGTTAGTTTTTGTTTTTCTATATAATTGGCTGCCAAGTACTATTTTGCTATCCATCAGGAGTAGTACTTAGGAAGCTTCGCTTCATCAATTCGAGTGGCTCTCCGTTGTTTTAGGTTAATCTATAAATCTGAAGATAGAGCAGAGCAACCTCTGCATAATCTCAGAAAATTGGATTTACAAACTTTCACTGATCTTTCCTTATTTTCCTCCCTTTTCCAGAATTAAGGTTACATAATGAATTTATACTTATACGCAGATGTCAAATTCCTTAATGAACTAGAAGTGAGTCAGAACCAACCGTTCATCTCGTACACAGAATGTAAAGAAATACACTTAAAAAAGAATGTTTTCGTGCGGTGTAGATGATATTCGTGCCTCTATTGTGTAAAAAAATGTGATCGGAAAGAATCGACGCATTGATTAACATAATAATGACTATAAACATTACATATCTCGTTGTTTTTGAACCAGAAATGTATTCTGCTTCTCTCACCATACCAGACAGGCCACTAAAGCTACTCCATCAAGAATGGTAAAAACTGGTTTAGCTCCCGCTCTGGGAATATGAGATAGAGTATTTGGGCATTTCAAGCGGCTGTCAAATGAATGGATTATTTATCTGGGAATAAATGTTAAGAAATCACTTCAGCGTTAGGACTTGGGCAGATGCAGATTTTCTTTTTGGAGATTTCTGTTTCTGCCTACAAATTCTTCTACTAAAGAATCAGTAGGAGAATTGGTGGCTGGAAATGTGAAGCGTGATTCTGGCGGCAATTGACTAACAACAATCGGACAAAAGTATCAGAAGACTAACAGATATCTCATTTTTTCACAAATGAGATAAATCAAGAGTCATGCTTAGTTGCTTATATTTGTGTTATCTGTTGACCCTTATCACTTTTGGTGAACATAAAACGTTGAATTCTTGTGTTTGATTGAGTGCTTCAAGAACACTTACTGCAGTACAGGGGACAAATATTCTTTTTGCAAAGGACCATGCTCCAATGTTTGCATTCCCATGGCTGTATTAGCAACAGGACCAGGCAAAGGAGGGCTGCTGGAGAAGCCGGTTATTGAAAAGGGAACTCCTGGCCGTGAATCTGAATTTGATTTGAGGTATAGAGAAATTTTGATGTGGAAAGTATCGAATAAAAATTTATGATGGGGCTGACTTAATTTTACAACTTCACTCTATTAACTATAAGTATTAGGGGATTGTGTATATAATGGCTAAACATTGAAACCATTTGATAAGAGGAAGAAATATAGGAAGCACGATGGTTTAACAACAGGAATTTGTTAGGAGTTCTTCCGATGTTGCAGTTTTAATGGTAACAATAATTCAAGGTGTGCGATAATTTGCTATAAAAGCCATTCTATGCTGGTAAAACTGTCTTGTGGAAGATTGGAGATTGCATTTGATTAGATGATGCCAAATATGTATTATTTGTCTTTTGTTTTACTTGTTTCTTTAGCCCCTTTAATTTTAAACACTTTGGATTTTTGTTCGGAAAACTTGAATAGCTGTTTATGCCTAACCTTCCTAATGGAAAAAAACTAGAGGGATCCATTATTGTGGATTATGCAGATGGTTCTGTATTTATTTATTAGTTGTTTTTTTTATATGATTTTCATTTTTAAATTTGAAAATTAGGATTCTCTTGTCAATGCTTTTATTTTGGGTTGTTTGGTCATATATTTTACTTTGGTTTCTTACATTTATATTAGACTTTATATTACATTTTACTTTGGTCATATATTAGACTTCTGCAGCCTATATAATTATATTATGCTGTTGTTATACTTTTAGCCTGTCTTATGGACTAGACATATTTATCTATCTATTATTACTTCATTTCTAAAGAAAAGAGAATTATTAGTGAAAGAAAATATTTGATTCTGGTTTTCTAAGACATGCAGGAAATCACGGAAATCTGCACCACCATATCGTGTAATATTGCACAACGACGACTTCAATAAAAGGGAATACGTTGTACAAGTATTAATGAAGGTCATTCCTGGGATGACCCTTGATAATGCATATGATATCATGCTAGATGCTCACTACAATGGATTGTCAGTGGTGATTATCTGTGCTCGAGCTGATGCTGAAGAACACTGCATGCAACTTAGAGGCAATGGCCTGCTCAGTTCAATCGAACCTGCAAGTGGTGGGTGCTAATCATTAGCCTCAATTTAAATCTACTAATGTTCATTGTTGGTGAAAGCAAAATTTCGAAATTTTAGTCTTTGTACATGAATTTGTCCTCATGAACGCTGCAAAGAAAGAAAAAAGAAAAAGAAAACAATAAAAGGATTAAAAATGGCCGTCCTATGAATAATATATGCTATAGCTATGACTTTGTGTAAAGAATTT